CTCATAGGTTGTTCATCCCATTTCGGACTCTTTCGCGTATTTATTCGTCCTTACCTCTGCCTGATGACTGTTTTATAACTTGATAAAGACCTTTAAATATTTGCGCGGGCTTGCGCGATGAACGCTGTCCCGGATTTAATATTGGAAAGATTGGCGTCAGGAGGGGTTAAGCAAGCAAACCGAAATTCTTGCTTCTAATGAAGACGGCACAATCATAAGATAGGTCATCCTCCAGGCCGGGAATGTTTGTGCACAGTGATTAAATTATTTACATCTAATTTGACATGCACTATAAATCTGGTACATTCTCTTAGAAGCAGTATGTTAGTGCACATGAATCCGCCCAGCGTCTTGCCTTCTAATCGCGTGGAAGGAAAATTGAAATATCCCGGGCATGATCTGTGCTGAAGCCTAGGTTCATTGGTCGCCTATTATTTCTACAAACTCTCTGGCAAATTCACTACCATATAGCCTGGTGTCCTTTATCCAAGAAGCGAGGTTTTGATAGAATTCCGTTGCTCAGCCACTATGTTTTTGTAGTGGCGCGAAAAAACAAAAAAAGAGAAAGAGAGAGGAAAGCAACGGTTTTTGCAGGCTGATATTTTTTTTTTGCAATTGCAATATTTTGTTGTGTTGTGTGGTATGCTTTTGTGGTGTAAACAATCTTACGCACTTCCCACAAATATTTCATTGTCAACGACAGTTGTAAAGTATTACGCAGTGCCTCGGGTGCTTTGACCTTACGCACTAGAGCGTCACAGGAGCGAGTATTTCTGCAAAATAAATACGAGGACCTATTTCTCCCTTTGAATCCATCACCTTTGTGGCATCACGACGAACACACTTTCACCATGAAATCGTAACAAATAATGATTGATGATGAAATTGATTGGGTCCCAACAGTGGAGCCACATTATTTAGGTTGCAAATAAACTGGGCGTCAATCATGCGATGTGCTTGCTTCCACGTTTGAATGTGTTGAGAATGAGTAGCCAAAAAACGCAGTCTGCAGGCTGCTTCCTGGAGTGGCCTGATATCTCCAAAACTCGGGAAAAGGGGGGGGGGGCGAGAGAGAGAAAGGGGTGGATGTTGTGGGAAGGTGATAATATTGATTCTCACTTAGGAGAGTCGCCGGTCGTTAAAAAGTCGACTCGCCCATAACGGGAAAGCCTGTAGGGCCACATGTATAGTAACCATGAGTAAAATGTGGTATACAGCTATGTTACTGAGAAGTTGCAATAGAGCAAACGATGGGGCGTTGTGGAGGCAAGTGAAGCAAAAACCTATCTTATGATTGTGCCGTCTTCATTAGAAGCAAGAATTTCGGTTTGCTTGTTTAACCCCTCCTGACACCAATCTTTCCAATTTTGGATAGATCCGGGACAGCGTTCATCGCGCAAGCCCGCGCAAATATTTAAAGATCTTTATCAAGTTATAAAACAGTCATCAGGCAGAGGTAAGGACGAATAAATACGTGAAAGAGTCCAAAATGGGATGAACAACCTATGAGAGGTGTGTTTCAAACAGTAATAAAGAGATTAGCGAAAGCCACTTGATTTATAAGTTTCGGAAATAAATGTATTATCGACGACCTGAACCTTTTATTGCGCAAGCCAATCCTTGTGCAGACACGGGAACGGTTCCATCAGCCGCGCGATGCCAGCGAGCGGCTGCTGGTACGAACCCAGCATACCGCCACGACCCCTCGATCTCCACCGACCGAGCGGCCTCGGACCTGCAGCTCATGAGAGAAAGCTTTCGGTCGTGCTGGCTTCCTCAATCTCGCGGATTGAGCGTGCCCGCGTCGACGAGGGAAGACACCTGGACGTCTCAAGGTCGTTGTGGCGCTCGCGGCTAGCTGCTCATTTCGCGCTTTTTGAGGATTATCCCTACAGAAAAAGTCGACACAAAAGAAGCCCCTGCCGTCCCATAATTTTTGGGGGAGGGTGACAAGAGGAGGGCGCGAGGGGCATTTTCCTACCTTGCGGATTATGGTTTCGTTGGTCATCTTTAAAGCCTGGTGGACAAGGAATCAACGGCTGCTTTTTCTTCGCTCAGTGGCCGAAAGCGAAGAGAAAGGAGCCGTCAATCTGTGCCTGTCAGGTGAAACATTAGCAATGAGTAGACACGACACAACTATCCTTCTAGTTTAGAAAATAAAATAATTTCCTTTTTAACTTCATCAGCCTCCGCACGAACCGCAAAATGACTTGCCTGTGCCGAGTGACAAGCTGCATCCATCAATATGTCACCGTACTTAAAAAAAAAAAAAAAAAACTTTTTTTGGCATATTTTTGATTCCACCTAGCCAGTGGTTGTTCGAAACGATACCTCTCTTTTTTTCTGTCCTTTCTTACCGTTGGTCCTTTTCTTTTAAAATGCCAGTAGTGACCTCGTTCTATCGATATCGTATTTCTTGAATAGAAGTCCCAGTCAGGCGATGCCAATGCTGTTAGGCATAAATGAAGTATCAAAGTGAGGAGAGCTGATATCGAAACAAAGGGTGCAACAACCCTGCCATGCAGTAGCGGCACGTAGGATTATCACACCATATCCGCTTTTTGCATTACAGCCGAAAAGAAGAATCAGTGGAAGCAGCTGTGGCAAACCGCAACGCTTTTTTAGCTGTAAACAGTGACTGTATATGCAAGTCAAGAATGCAGATGCGTAGAACCCCCTGCGAAAATCACTCCCGACTAGCAATTAAGCTGGGGGGGGGGGGGGGTGGGGGAGCTCTATCCCGAAAGAGCACCAAAATTCAAGATGGCACCGACAAAATTTTTCTACCAGAAAAAAAAAAAAAGCGCAGTGTACACGGATTTAGTGTTTTATTTATCTCTGAGAACATAGACTTTATTAGGCCAAAGATTTGTCACTGCTATGTTAATCACTTTCAAAACCACCAAAAGACTCCTCAGAGTCTGTCACAAGAAAAAGTTTGCAGCATTCCGCAAACTACGTGCCGTTGGCTATTTTGACAACCTCTTCAGAAAGAAGCCGGTTGCCAATGGCTCATTCTGCACTTCTTTCGCGCTCCAGGTATGAGTGCATCATCCACGTTTTCACTGAACACCGGCGTGCCGTTACTTAGCTTTCGTCGAAGTTTGACTTTCTTGTAGTTTGGCTGTAGCAAATTTTCAAAATTCTTGTCCCATTCCCGTATCCGGTAGAGCTTGATGTGTCGAGACGTCAGGTGTATGTTTTTCCCGTTTTCACAACGCCATTGGACGACCTCAATTTTCTTTGCCGCTGTGAAAGAATGCATAGCCGACCTGACAACCCCAAAACAAAGCGAAAGTGGTGCGTGGCGACCGGGCTGATAGGGCTGCAAAGTAGGATTGGATTGGATTCTTGGACTGAATTTCGCAGGCCAGTGTTCCCTGGGCGCAATCAGCCTGGTACGTGATACGGGTGCGGTGCGGGGAGGGGCGCACTTTCCCGGAACGGCGAGGAAATGTGAAATTGGCAGTGAAATTGGGGAGGACACTTGCTCAGAATTTCACGGTAAGCTTAAATTGTATCTTCATATTTTCTAATCTCTTTTATGCCTAAAAATGGTGCAACCTAATACTTCACTAGGGTGCTGTGGGAGGAGGGTGAATACACCTTACTGGGCACTGTAATGCAGTGGCTTTGGCACTGACAGGTTTGACGTCGTTTGTGTGGCTGGATTCGCCGAAGCCCTGGGGTTTCCGCCTTAAATTGGGTGAGGTGGCTGATATCACCTATCATAGTGGAATACCAGGCAATCCGGTGTTTTTTGTTGCCCATGGAGCTTGTTTTTGAAACTTAAAACAACATACAATGGTTCATCTGGTGAATCAATTAAAATTGTGGCCACCTTCTGTATTGGAAAAAATGACCAGAGTTGATTTCATCTCATCAAAATGACGAGTTGTGTGACATGTGGGCAAGTAAAGGAGAAAGACATTAGCTGGCTCAGAGCGTGTGAAAGGGTAGCACTCGATTGCCAGGCCTGCTCAGATATACATGCTTTTTTTTTTGTCAAGCCTGTCTTGTCCTTGGAGGTGAGCTGTATGCACCGATTCTTACTGACGTCTGTGCAATGTGCGCCGTCGGTAATGTACCACTTGCGCATGGCAGAAGAACACTGGCTGGTGGTAATGTTGGTGTGGGAGTCTGTGTCTCGCACCATCAGGAGAGAATTCGGCAAGCTAGATAAACTGTAATAGAAGTGAGTGAAGTAGGTTGTACATTTGCTCTGGAAACATGTTTAGTGCAATATTCATTCTCAGAAAAAATGTTACCTTCGTCTACCAGTTTCAAGTTTGAGTCAATTTCATTGCAACAAGTGTACGGCTGTTCTCTTTAGACTTCATACCGATTGTCATTATGACAAGCAAACAAAGCAATGCATTATCTTTTTATGTTCATTTTTTTTGTTACTATGAGAATTTACGAAATAGCTAACTTATTGCAAATGTTTTCAGTCATCTTGAACACTACATTTGCTTACCACTTTTGAGTTTAATGACGAAAACACCATTTTTATTGCCCGGTTGTGGTATGTTTATGCATGTTTTGTACAGTTGTGCACTGTATCGTTTTCACTGGATATACCTGAAAATGTTTATGCAAAGTAGTCATAATGAACAGTGTATAGGGTGTTTTCACTGACGTGATTTCGTCCACCATTTGTTGTTGCGATCTGTCTGGAATGTGCCAAACTCGAGCATTTCAAGGATTTACATGCCTTCTCAAATGCGCAGAGCACCGCTGACATCATTTCAACCGGTTACGATGTAATCCTTCAATGTAGTAAATTTGTTTGAAAAACCAAACTAACAACAAAATGGCGGATTGACGTCATGCGCAAACAACCTATAGTATAGTGCCTTGAATGCATTTGTGACTGCTGTCTTTGGCCATCCTATGCTGCTTATGCATTTAAGGTAGCCCCAAAATGGTGACAAATTATGTCGCAGGAGCTGGATGCTGTGTTATGTCGCAATCCTAATGGTTGGCCCTATGTGTTCCAGCGAATAATAGGAAACACAACTGTCGCTCTTGTAGCGTCCCAACTCCTGGCTGCTGAATCTTCCATGGACTATCAAGCTGGAGACGAGCTACAGCACAACAGGGGCCTACCGCACCCGCCTTCTGCTGCTCTACCACCACCAGATCGTGGCATGAAACAGCATGACACTTCTATGACGTTGTCAGGCAAAGATAGAGGGAACTCAAATGAAGTGACGATGAGCATAGCACTCGGGAACATGTTCCAGGCACCATTAGAATGTGCTAGTAGAGGCCCATTGAGGAAGCCCATTAGAATGTCCCAATAAGGGCAAATACATCAGTAGGCCAATATTGGACCAATACACCAACATGCCTCTACTGAACTAAACACACAAATAGGCCTCTAATGGACCAATACACCAGTAGTCCTCTATTTGACCAATACACCAATGGGCCTCTATCGGTACTATAGGACCCACCTACTTTTTACAATAGGAATCTACTGGTCTATCAGTTTACTGGTTTATTATTGTAATTTTTGCTGGGGATGTGATAGCACAACCTCTTTTATTGCATATGTTCTAATGTTAGCTGCGTATGTTATGAGCCTTACATATTGTTTACAGGTGTACTTTGAAAATATTGAGGTCAGTGGCATTTCTAACTCCAAACCCTCGATTAAGTAATCTTGTTCATTATTTCAAGCAAAAATAAATTATTAAATTTAGTTCAGTTGTACCACAGCTGCTGCCCTTGCCAGGGAGAGTTTATTTGAGGAAGTATAATATCTGTAGTAGTGCCTCTCACCCTTGACATTTAGGCTGCTGCAAAACATGGCACCAGGTGTTTTGTGCGTTTTCTTTTTGAGGAACGTCTTTCCTGTAAAATCCACATTCAGGATCATCATCACAGCGAAATCTCTGGAGTGCTGGACACAATTTATGATACTTGGCATGGCACGGGTATAGTATTATATCAGTGCCCGGCGTCACTATTTTCTAGCGCCGTGTTTAATGCACACCTTTAATGCATACCCTGATGATGGCCTTAAGACAAAGTACATTGAATAGTAATCACCCTACATAAACGGCATTTACATGCTGGTCCACGTCTTTTATCAGCCTGTATACGTAAATATCCCCATTCGATAATACTAAACCTACGTGAAAAACGTTTACACGCTGGCACACATCTTTCATCACCATTTATGTAAATATTCCACAGTGAACATTAAAAATTGGCTGTATTTTCACATATGTTAGGAAATCTTGGACTATGTGAACACATGTAAAAAAAAAGTTCAGATGCATGTATGCCTTCTGCTATTACAACCCATTTTCATCACACTTCCGGCGCACCAAGGAAGCAATAGACAATGTGTTTGATTTTAGTTCAAACAGACCTGTTTAGCTGTGCAATGTACACTAATTCGGTTTGTACAGGCGAGTTGTATGGCTAGTGGGACATAATTAGCATGCCGTGTTTTCGGATAAAACCGAAAAACTCAAACGAACATTTGCCAATAAAATTTTATAAAATTAGATTTATCCGATAAACTCACATTTTTGATGTCCCAGTGTAAAAAAGGAAAGGAAAAGAAAAAAAAAACAAATGCGTAAGCATGCCTTTCCGTTTTGTGCTGAAAAATGAAGTTGTCTTTCTTGGTGGCTGCATGCGATGAGTGATAGGAACCTTTATCTTGTTGCATGGTGGTGTATATATCTGATGGGGATCGACAGTTTGCCGACGTTTGGTGTTATATTAAATCGGTTGAAACTTGGCGCTTGTCTTGTCGTACGTGTCTTTTTTCGTCCTGTATCAGTTCACGCCTTTTAACGTTTTAATCTGTATTCTGTAACAGAATTTTGTCGCAACACAAGGTCACTGTTCCCAAGGAGAGGTCATTCCTGTTTTTTTTTCGAATCTCTGATAGTTGACAAAAGATGTTTTATTGTTTATCTTGTCTAGGTTTGTTGAGGATAACTGGTTATTGTACCTCTGGGTCACGACAAAAGCCAGTGTTCCCGTTTGCAGTTTGAGCCATACTCTTTGTGCTCCTTAAGTCGGGGGGGAAGGTTTTGGTTTTTATAAAAGTAAAAAGTATGAACCAGTAGATTTTATGGGACTGTGTGCATGTGTCTGGGATGGGGGGGGGAGAGAGCTGTCACCATCAGTACTGCACTTCATGCAGCCACAGGGTGAAATGGACGGGAAATGACTACATCTGGGTCTCTAGTGATTTTAGAGTATCAATGCCTGTTCCAGCAACACTTCTGTGTAACTTTTGTCATGGGAGAGTTGCGGTGTTAACAGTGGCAAAGACGCGAATGCCAAACCCAGCCGAATAAATATCATTTGATACAGGCACATTCTTTTGAATTTAGCAGACATTTATGCCCAAATGGCATTTATTTTTATTTTCAATTTTCCAAAAATTGGGATTACAGCGAAATTAAACTTTGATTTTCATGCATTGTAGAAGAATGCGTGTTAAATAGTAAAGTGGTAAATATAGACCGACACGCTGTTTACAAACAAGCACGTGTGTTCCCCTACACCAGGTGTGGGTACTGCGCGTGCACAGAAACCAAATTTGCGTGAAGTGAAAAGTCTGCGCATGCCCAATGCTGTCAACAGCGCCATTGCAGCTGCGTGACTTCAGGGCCGCATGTGGGTCTATATGTTCTTTTTCCAGCTTTCCAAGTGTTGGTCCTTGAAAACCAGGCAAACATCATCACGCAGCTTACCGAGCTAAGGAAGAGTGTTGTGGCTACCTCAGCCATGAAGGTAGCAGTTGCGCTGCCTCCAGACGCCCCCACGCTCCCTGCAAGCACATACGACGGCCTCAAGGAGGTTAACACTTACGCTGCCTCGCAAGACAAGCTGGATGTTCTGGTGAGATTTTATGACAATTTCGGTGTATAGTTGCCATATTCAATGCGTAAATCATATTTGCACCAATTTCATGGTTCCCCGCCATCCTGGCAACTTAAGGCCCGTTCACACTCTTGCGACCGAGTGCGACCGAGAGAGACCAAACCGGTTTTTAAGCCTCTTGCGATCTCTTAGGACCAGCTCCGCTCAGTGCATCCGGTCCCAAGAAGTCTTTCTCGGTCGTACTCGGTTGCAAGAGTGTGAACGCGCCTTTAACTTTATCAGGCACATATTTGTCCTGTGAATGACAGCATGTGTGTTTGTGATGAAACCCCATGGTTTGACAGAAGGGCAATGAGCCAGATTTTGTGCATGTTTCTATCTGTTCGTGAATTCATAGAAAAAAGCCTCAGTACGGGGAAAAAAATTGTTGTGCCCATTGTAATTTGTATTTTGGAATTGCAGTGGCTAAAATGTGCTTCAATTACAACTACAACTTAATTTTTATTCAGAAGTAATGAACCACAATAACAGATGTTTCAGGAAAGCACTGAAGTAATGTTTTTTTTTTATTATTGTGAATTTTTTTACGAGCTGATGTTATCGGCTGCCATCAGCTCATTGCGAAAAATTTATTGCGCCAATGGAAGAGCCCACTGTAATGAGACATGACTAAGACCTTTATGGTGATATCTTTGTCATTAATAGTGTGATATGGCTTTGCTCTATTTAAACCAATCAGCGACATAAAAGGCAGGCAACCAAGGTGGAACAAGCAAACTGCTGGGTGGCTTTGCAATGACTAAAAGCTATTTACTGTAAATGACTTAATTTCCACAAGCACCTAATTTTTACAACTTGCATAAATTAAAAAAACAGACCCTGCAAACATATTTTCCTGTGGTAACAAATCGATCCGTGCACTCATGCTTGTAGGTGATGGGCTGTGCCGTGCTTTTAGAAAGCGAAAAAGTTGTCGGGTATCAGTGTAATTGGTTGAGTTTTGAGTTTGACCAGATTCAACTTTTTCTAGCTTCTTGCGAAAAGTTTGACAAAGGTTCGATTCAGGTTTGACTGATATGCGCATGCGCGACAGGCTGGAACTCTACTTATGATTTCCGGTTGCTGGGCAATTCGCATTCTCTTGAATAACGGTGTGCCACACCTGCATGAAATCGTCGTGGCTTGTAGACCACGTCAAATGCCAACGACAATATCGCCATCCATGATGCAGTGTCGCTCAATGAAGTCATCAAAAAGGGAACGACGCATAGCCAATAGTTTGGACAAAGTTGACAGCCTCACAGGCACCAGGATGCATGTTTTGACATGTGCAGAAGCATCATGCTCGATGGCCTTTAGCAGTTTGTTTACGACCAAGACAGGGTTGCTCATTTCTAGAGAGCGATGCCTCCGAAAGGAAATTAGATTTAATTGCGAACCAGCGCACAGGTAGGCAGTTGCTCAAAAATCCAAACACAGAAAATAATGCTCTCACACAGTGCTGTGTGAGTGTGTTTTCTATGTGTTTGGATTTCTGAGTAATTGTCTGCCTGTGTGCTGGTTTGCAATTATGCCTTATCAACTCACCCAATCTGCAGTATTAACAGGAAATTACTGATCACTTTCCTGAAAATGAGGTTAAGTGGAAATGAAATTTCATCAGCACCTCTACTGCATGCACCACATTTTCATGTACTTTTTATTTATTTCAGGGCTTTGTTTTCCTTTTCACCTGGCAGGTTATTAGCTTACAAGTAATTATAGAAGTTGCACACATTTTTGTCATGTGTAGTCGAGGCCCAGAGTTGTCATTCTTATATTTTATTATAAGACTCTTGGGTTGTATAACGTTTTTGCGCGGCCCCCTGAAAGTTATATAACGAGGGTTCCAATGTATACAATATTGTTTCTCTTAGAATACGCTTTTAGAATACGCTTCAAAAAAAGCAAACAGTGGATACCTCCTCAACTTGGAGGCAGATCAAGTACCAGAAAATACCAAGGGAGCACCCACTTTACTTTCACTGAGAACGGAGTTAATCTAAACATGCATGCTTGTCCACTCAAATCAGGCGCTTAACATAGAATTTGCAGATTTCCCAAGTTTGGGAAATGTTAATAGTGGGCTCTTCCGCAGTACTTTACGGTAGTGCATTTCACCATGGGAAATGTACAGATTGCAAGATAAGTTTATTTATCTGATCATTAACTGAGGGCAATATTCTTGGGAAGTTCCGGTTATTAGAGGTCAAATCTCAT